AAAATATCGAGAAATGCTTCAAGTAAAAGTTGTAGATGATACTATTACCTATGAAAAATTTGAAATCACTATAATTTTAGCTTTTTAATAGTAATAGGAATCTATAATAACAAATTCAACATGCCAGCATTGTTTAAGTATACGTATAGCCTATACATCCTTAAATGGGTCAGTCATTCATGTCCCATTTCAAATAAGGTAAAAGTCTCCATTTTTATGTGATTGTAAGTCTTATTGCTATTTTATCTCGATCATTTATAAATTCAGTTACCTCGTACAACTAGCGAGACTGGCTTCTCGGCGTGCAGGATCTCGATCTTCGAACGAATAATCCCGTGGAAAGATCCGCGTCGCGGGTATCGATCCCACCGCGGATGAAGGGTTTAGTCACGGAATAATTAATGTGAGAGAGCAGGTACCTCCTTGCGTACCACTCGTCTACTCCACTTTCTCTGCGATTCGACGGTGCACCGCGGCGTGTATACCTGTTTACGGGAAGTTCGAAGGGAACGCGAATCGGTAATCGGCGACGCGGATCCATAACGTTCGCGACTCGCTATCGTATATGGATCATTGTTCACCCACGATTAGATTATTCGGATCGCAATCAATCACTGGGTTCAACCGGATTTTGTTCTACGAGTCGAACGCGAAATGCGGCTCTCGACGTTCTTCAACGGTAGAACCGCTTGATTGGCGTAGAAGGTTTTGATCTCGACCCATAATTTTATTTAATTGGCAGCCGTATCATCAAGTTGGAAGCAAACCGACCAACTTTATGAGCTTCTTCTGTTCAAGGAAAATCAGTGTGTTACTCGTCATCGAAAACACTTCCAACTGTTGCACAAAGGCGACGATCGCTCCCGCGAATCGTGTCGGGCTTTCATCCGGCCCGTAAAAAGAGAGCTAAAGGGAACCGACCAAAAAGCGATGATAATGACCACTGTGCTGGCAAAAGGGACACTCCGAAACGCGCGGCGAGAAAATTTAACGCGTCGAGCCGCGGCTAACGCGAGTATAACAAATGTGACACCGATCGTCAACAAAAGGCTGGCGCCGTTCCAAGCTGGCATTAACACGCGTGGAAATTACCCTCGGTAATTTAAACGCCTGGCCAGTGTTAATCGCATCGTCACCCTGCCCTCCTGCTAGCAGCCGGCCAAAGGCGTTTCCAAAAGCGTCTTCACCGATTCACGGTGATATACTCTCATTGTCAATGCAAAGGTTCCGCTTGTTTCCTTCTCGTACGTACATCGTGTTTTACTGTTATCAGTACGGTAAATATTGGTCAGTTTATTCTGAGATAAGGATAAAATAATTAGCTACGCTGTTCCGAAATAATGATGAAATAATAATTGACCGGGTTGTAAGAGACAAATAGCAGGAATGTTTAATAAGAAAAAAAAATAGAACCCGTATGTCAAACAGCTTTAGGTAGAATAAACATGAGCAAAGAAATACCAAATGTAATTTTCAGTAGAGTCACTGAATTACTTACGAATCGTCAATTAATATTTCAAAGTCTAACGACCCAGTTATTAAAGATCAAATAATTTACACAATTATAACAGGATCAGTGGAAGAAGATGCAAAACAAGAAAAGGACCAAAAATCGTTCGATCCAAATAAGAACGATTTGTCAAGAAGAGAAAAAGAGAGGGGTGAAATTTTGAAAAACAGTTGCTACCCTCGCAGGCAGTCTCGCAGGGATCCCGCGTCAACGCACCAATGCGAGACTGTCCGATCGCGCGAGATTCTCGCGCTGGTTCCCCGGTTCTGTCGGACGGAGACGAGACGATCGCGAGGCGGACGATACCGGGGCGTGCGAGAAGGATCGTGGCCTCACGGAGCGGACCGATAGAGACGGCACGAGGTGTGTACACACAGTGTTGTAGATCCTCGCGCGCGTGTAACGTGCACGCCGGAGAGAAGGGAGACCGAGCGAGGGAGATAGAGGGAGAGAGAAGAAAGAAACGAGCGGATGCTCGGTCGGCAGACGCAGATAGTCGTCGGCCGAGCGAGAGCCTCGCGCGCATCGGCCACGGAAGACGAGGAGGGATACAGCGTTACCCCCACCACGGGGGTGAAAACTACCCCGAGAGCGCGTGGGGTGTCCGGCCTCGGCGCCGAGGCGAACCGAGCGCGTCCGAAGCGAGCGCAGTGCCCGACACACCAGGTCCCGCACGGCACGACTAGGCGCACCGTCCGGCACAGTCCACTCAGAGATACGACCCATGCTGGACCATCGTCGCTCTGGTCCACGCCGGCATCAGGCATCCAGCATCCGCGCGTCAGACCACACGCTGAGACGACGAGACCAGCAGCTCTCCGAGGACCGCGGCCAGGACACGCGTGATCCTGGAACGAGCACGTTGCCCCGAACCTGGTGCAACAACACCGGAAGGACGAGATACCAACGTCGTCGTTCCGATCCTCGTTGCGGTTCTCGTGATTTCAGTGCGGGCCAGATATTCGACGGAAGAGTAATCCAGGAGACGATTGTTCAAACGCGCGTTGTTGTGCGTCACGCGATTTTCAACAGAAGTTTGTAATTGTAAACTGGGACCAGTGTTTGTGCCGGGAAACGTGTCAGCCTGCCGACAGGAACGAACGGTTCTCCCTACTGAGACAGTTTAATTTGTTTTTTTATTTATTTTCCTATTGTTTTTTATTTTCACTTGATCCAAAGATACGTGGAGGTGAAATGAATCCTTGGTGACACCGTGTGATTCTCGGACAACACGCGACGGCCACAGCTGGCCGCGAGTTGACCCTGCTACCAGGAAGGTATTTCCAATAGGTGAAACTCGTCGTCAATCGTTCGGTGCGAGCATAGTCAATGAAAAATATTTTTTTCACATAGAGTCAAGTGTACGCGGAACTTGACTTTGAGTTTTATCTCTCTCCCTTTTCGAGTGGAAGATACGTCTTCGTATTTATCGTTATTATACCTCATAAATCGGTGTGTATATGTGCTCCGGGACGTGTGTAGGTTCGTCTGGCTGTCGCGTACGCGGCGAGCTGAACGAGGGACACGATGAGGACGAATATTAGTTGACGAAAAGGTGCTTCTCGGCCGACTGTCAGTGCCGTCTTCGTCGCGGCCAGGTGCACCAGACGATCGGACGGAAACCGGTAATTGTAAGAAACCGCCAGTCGAATCGAAGATACATTTCAACGAAGTAAAAAAAAGTGCCTCGAGAGGAGAGCTTCTGTCGCGAAGCACGAGTTAAACTTCGGGAAAGTACTGAAAAATAAGTGTGAAGTTTCTCAAGGTGGAAACAGGTGACACGTCGGATGGACTCGTTTCACCGGAACAACGCCACGGGGCGGAGGTGAGGGGGAGGAGGACAGAATCGTCGACGATCGTCCGCTTTGCATAACCGTGCTCGAAGGAACCGGCGTCCTTCCAGCGTGGTCCTCGCCTCCCCCTTTTCTTCTAGCCAAACTTTTCGGAAAGAATCGTGCCCGTCTTCGAGGGGAGACCGGAGAACAACCTTCCGTCCTGGAAGTTTATCAAAGGAAACGCGCGGATCGGTGGGAGACGCGTAAATCGTGCAACGCGCCACGAGGATCGACCAAGAACGTCATCATGAGGATCAAAATGCCCGCAGTAAGGATCGCGCAAGGTGAGTGAATACGAGAAAAACATGTTTCCTTGATTAAAACGATCTTCTCGCGTGGGAGGCGCGTGTTAGCGTTCGCGTCCGACGGTTTGACCGGAACAACAACGCCGGCGGGTCTCGTTCCGAGCGTGACATTATTTTGGGATTTTGCGCCTGGTCCCGCGACGCGACGCGGCGTCGACGCGCGAATGAACTTGAAAACCCGCTGAAGAAACTCTCCCTCGATTCTCCTTTTCGAGTACTTTCCGTTTCGAGGAGTTCGCCAAGTCCTGGTTAATTGAAACCGGCTGGCGATAGTTTTGAATTTCTCGCGACTTTCAGTGTTGTTCTTATCAATTTTATTCCTGTTAGAACTGTGGTAGTCTTGAAAGTTTGAGACGTAATCCGATTAAGCGCATCAATTGTGAATTTATTAAGTAAAATTGAAATTCCAATGAAAATGTGACAAAATCTGTCGGTAGACATGAAAGTTCAATGTTCGTGATAGTAAGAATTATTCCTTTATAATGTCTCAAATCTTTACAAAATTACATTCGAATCCTTGTGCATTATAATAACTATTTTATGGTATCTAATCTGATGATTCTTTTAAAAGATTTATAAATGAAATCACATGATTCAGTAAGTTTAGCAGGAAATTTAGAAGCCACCACGATTCGCAGTAATGGCAAGTCTGACCGATTTGTAGAGCCCGATAACCGAACAAGCTTCGAAATCCTGTCGTTCGCGATGGGCCATAAATCGTCCCCAAACATGACCAATTCTGTCCTAATTCTTCCCAATGTCCTTAACCTCGCGTCGCGGAATCGATCAATTACGATCACCTACCGCTGATGACTCGTCCCAAAGTAAACAGTTCGAAATCATTTCACTCTTGCCCAATTACTCTTCCCTCGTAGCCTACGAAACACAACCTGTCGCCTTTCGCGGCAAGGGCAAACTAAAAGCAGTCGCGGTGAAAAAAGAAAAGACGCGGAAAAGGAGAGCGCGCGCGAAAAAGGAATAAGAAGACTCGGTGGCGGTCGCGTGGCCACGGTTAAGGAAAAATAAAAGACGCGGACGTCGTCGACGATGACGTCTAGAGAGACGAGGAGATGGAAAGAGAGCGAGACTTTACGAACTCTACGTGGGGCGAGAGAAAGAGAAAGGAAAAGGGAAGGAATGAATGAATGTGGAGAGGCGCGGGGATGGTGGCGGGAAATGCGGGGTAGCAGGCCAACGTCTTCGGAGAACTCGTCGCTGGTTGAATTTTTAATTAGTCCCCGACACCCCCACTATCTCGTTTCCCCAGCCAGCCGACGGAGGGTGGAAAAAGAAGCCGAAAAGATAGATACAGTGAGGGAAAGAGACAGAGAGAGAGAGATAGGAAAGGAGGCGCTCAAGGCGGAGGTGGAGAAAGAACAGAACCGGGGGGTAGGGTGGCCGAGGAGGGGCGGCATTGTCATGCGCGCGTTTTTCAGAGACTTTTCCACCCCCGTCCGGGGGGTGCACACCCTTTGCCCCGCGTCGCCTCGAGTCGGCTCGCACCCCCTCGCCCTCACGGAGAGAAGAGAGCGGCGGTGGCGGCAGCGCCGGCGACGGCGGCTCCGTTTTCTTAATTACAACTGCGATATTCTTTAGTTCGCGCGATGACGCCGCCGCGAAAAGATACCGGAATATTCCACCACCGATTAACCCCGCGGTTCCGTTTCCCGGAATCGTTTTTTCATTTCCGACGATATATCGATCGATCGATTGTTCGATTCGATCGATTAGCCAGGATCACCATGAGAAGCGTGGACTTGTGGTTTCCTCGCGTCTGTCTTAAGAAATTGTGTTCTACACGCATCAAACTGTCAAAAATGTCGCGTTCCCGAGATCGCGACGTCTGCCGGCGTGATTGGTGTCTTTGTCGGTGATCGGAAGCTCTGTCAGTGTCGAAAAGTGATGTAGTATACGCATGTCTAATACGACAGGCCGATGACCCTGGCGGTGTAAATCAGTTGTCTTTTCATAAAACAATATTCGTCGTTCGTTATAGAAGAAATTCTTTATCGTCTGAGATTGTAAATATACGTCAACAATTATAACATTGCTAACAATGTAACTAGCCGAATAAGACACTTGATTTGATTTATTCCTACGACTATCAGTATACGAAATCGATGAGATACCGATACAAGACTTCGCGAGCGGAATGTGAAAATAACGTGTGGACATACACGCGTCGCGTGACGAAAACTTCGGCAATGCAATTGACGGTCTTTTGCAGAAATTCGGGTATCGCGTGATTTACAAGAGGTGAGTCGATCGGCCAGAAGTCTCAAACAATTTTCTCGGTTTGACAGGCAACGTACACGGTAACTCGAAGACTGATTGACGTTTCTGATTATCATAATTCGTGTCGTCTTTCCCGCGATTTCTCGATTACTCAGCGTTCGTGCTCGAAACGAGTCTCCACGTAAGGGACACCGAAAGTCAGAATTCGATCTTTAAATTTCTGTTTGTAAATGCGGATTATCCTGCCGCACCGGTTCGAAGCTACGACTCCTGTTTACATCGCCATTATCCGCCTTCCAACTTGTCCTACATACGTGTAATCGAATAAATAGATCTCGCGTTCCAGCAAATTCCGCGAACAATCGACTGCTTCTATGATATACCACGGCGATTCTGATTAAATTTTATTTATAGCCGAACCTCGGCTTTCCTTCGATTCCTGTCCATCGATACGTCGACAAGATTCCAGTACAATTCTGCAGGTAATTTTCGCTGTGTTCGAATTTAAGATCGGATGTAACATAATAAAAACTTCTATTGATACTCTGTTAATTTCTGTGTAACGATTGAATAGTACAAAGACTGAAATCAAAAGCTTGTTCCATTTCCCCGCCCTGCTTTAAATAATACTATAATTTGATAAGGATTTCTTTTAAATCATCTAAGGATGAAGCCTCGATGAAAAATCGTACGTTCGTTGAACTTCCAATGGAAATTTACCGAACCGAAAATCATCAGAACAAAAATGGCTAAGCAGTTACCAATATTTATTCATTTTTCAAGCTGCCTCCTTCTTTACTTCTGGAACAGCGATCAAAGACAGTATGGTGACACGTCTTATTGGAATAAGTAAATTCCTAATTAGGCAAGCGTTACACCCGGGTGTACGATCCATTCTAGCCAAGGAATGGAGCAGAGACAGCTGTTGTTTGAATACAAAACAACGTTGAATCGAGCGAAATATAGGCGGCAGCCAGAGGAAAGTCGTGTGATGAACGAATCGCCAGCATTGCGAGTAAATTATCGCTTCCCTGTGGACTGTATCGCTCAGGCGTGCAGGTAGATGATAAAAAATGAAAGGGAAAGGTTGGAAGTGTTCTAAATACTTTACATACAGTTATTTGATGATTCGCGTAGCTTCCTACGTTCCGTTTCCTTTTTAAATAAATCATAGCAATAAGTATGTCAGCCAAGGAAATGAGGAAAGATTTTATATTATCCAATATATAAAAATAGATTGCATAAATAAGTTGGACAGGATATCGATAAAGTTATTGGATTTTGAACTTATATAGTACATTTTATAATTGAATCGCTACCTGATAATTTAATTGATACGAGCAAGAGCGTAAATAATCCCAATTAATTTTACACGTTTTCGAGTTACATTATGATCGAACGATATTCAATAATTCCTTACGTACTTCAAATGTAGTTTCCCTATTAACAAACTTATACAAACAGTAAAATTTTACGAGCCGCCGCTGGCGCGTAACGCTTAATGAACTCAATCAACGTTCTCGGATTGAAACATTAACTCCCCTGTGCTCCATGGATTATGCACTCATATTATAGACATTGGATAGTGTCACGTAATATTGAAAATGTTCCTAACTTCTCCGATAGAACATTGAAATAATTTAATCCGTAATTAATACCGTATCTAACTACGTACTGGCTTAACAAATTCCTGACTAAGACGCATGAAAATCCATGAATGAGAATTATGCACGTATGTCTAATTACTCGGACGGATTGAACAAGAATTCGAAGTTCATTGAAAAGCCTTTAGAATGTACGACCTCACTTTTTAAATCTTAACGAGTCCGATAACAACAGCGATGGTTTTTGTAAAAGTGGATCGCGATCTGAGAACGACGTATCGCAATTTTACCGTAAGCGTGACTTGTTAATTGACGCAATTACGCCCGCATAGCAGGACACCGCGCAGCGCGGTGCGGCGTCCTGCAATAGCCAGCGTAGCTCAATATCGGCCTCGAAGCACTCTCGAGGATGTTATTTAGCAAACAAAGTGAGTTTTACGCGCCCCTGTCGGCACGTGCACGGCATATGCGCGTTTTCTATGCCCGTGCGCGTTAAATATTGTCTTTGATGCGGCCCGTCGGAAGCCCTTCTCCGACTCTCGACTGTCTCCTTCCCTCAGCGTTCCTCCGATTTCCCTCCTTCTCTGACTCGGGAGAACCTTTCACAGCCGCGCCGACAAAAAAACTACTTTGATTTGATTCCTTAGATTAACCTTTCGGGCTTTCGGCGCGTGGCGAACCCTTCCTTGCCCTCTGTTTCTCCCGGGGACCTCGCTATCTCCTCGGAGGAACCAGCACGTGGCCAGGTAAGAAGCCTGTTCTCTCGCGCGCGCCTGCGACGGAGGCCGACTTTTGATCCCAGAAGCACGCGAGCTGCGCAAAAACGTCTCTGTAACACGAGTCTCGCTAATGGCGATATCCTTTATGTGTCGTGAGGAAAAGTTCTGTCCGACGTTCGCTTCGTGAACTGCGAGACAGCAAAATTTTGTGCCTGAATCTTTAACAGGTTCTTTTGATTAGATACAATTTTTAATGGACGGAGTTGCAGTGTCCGTAATATTTTAATTAACTGGACTTATAAGCTGCGGATGATTACGAGAAATCGATCAGATAAATGACTGTGGGATAGATGGCGTCACTCGCCACCTATGTCCGATGTCGCATTGACGTTCACTACTGAATAATAAAAGTGTTTACTGC